GCCATTTTGTCCCCAAACTTCCGCCATTTTCCCCTCAGATTATTTCCGCCATTTTGTCCCCAAACCTCCCCATTTTCACCCCCCGCAAAATTTTATTTTTATTATTATTTTTTTTTTTTTCTTTTTTTTGTTCCCCTCAGCCCCACCCCGGCGGCCCGGGCGACCACGCCCTCCGGTACCACCCCCTGTAGGTGAGGGCCCAGGCCGCCCAACCCAGGGCGGCGCCGGCCGCGTTTCGGGCCCAGGTGTTCCTGTAGGTGAGCGTCACCACCAGCAGGAGGTGCCACGTGACCAGCAGGCCCAGGGCCAGCAGGTAAAGCACGGACAGAGCCAGGGGAGGAGCCTCTCCAAGATGGCCGCCGGCCGCATGGCGTTGGTTGCCTTCAAAATGGCCGCCGGGCCTTTCGAGATGGCCGCCGGGGCGAGCAAAATGGCCGGCGGGGTGGTGGAGGTGGCCGTAAGGGCGTTCAAGATGGCCGCCGCGGTGTTCAAGATGGCCGCCGGGGTGGTGGGGGGCGGGTGGGTAATGGGAGCCTTCAAAATGGCGGCCGTAGCGTTCAAAATGGCCGCCCTCAAAGGGGCTTCTTCTTCCGTCAAAATGGCCGCCTTGGCGTTCAAGATGGCCGCCCTCAAAGGGGCTTCTTCTTCCGTCAAAATGGCCTCCTTGGCGTTCAAAATGGCCGCCCTCAAAGGGGCTTCTTCTTCCGTCGACATGGCCGCCGCTCCTCTCTTCAAAATGGCCGCCCATATACGGCCGTCCAAGATGGCCGCCGGCCCCGCCCCAGCCGTAATTTGCGTGCGGAGGCTCCGCCCACTCGAAGCCGATCGGCCGCCATATTGGACGAGGCCACGCCCACCCGGCCGCCATCTTGGGTTCTTCCCCCCTCTCGTACCCCGCCGCCATCTTGAATCTTGTGGCCATTTTGGGTTCTTCCCCCGTCCCGTATCTGGCGGCCATCTTGGATTCTTCTTCTAGTCCGTACCTGGCCGCCATCTTGGCTTCTTCGCTCATCCCGTACCCCGCCGCCATCTTGAATCTGGGCGCCACCTTGGATTCTTCTCCTAGTCCGTACCTAGCCGCCATCTTGTATTCTTCTCCGAGCCCATACCTGGCCGCCATCTTGACTTCTTCACCCATCCCGTACCCCGCCGCCATCTTGCCGCCGTCCGCCATCTTGCCGTACAAACTCCTCCCCAGCGCCGCCGCCTCCTCGGCCAAGCCCAACCCACAATGCACCAGGGCGAAGGCCTGGGGGGCGGGGCCGAAGCCTTCCCAGCTGTGCCCCGCCCCCCGGCACTGGGCGGGGTCTCCCAGGGGTAGCAGCAGGGTCCCGAGGGGCGTGGCCGAGCGGCACGAGCCCGTGGCCACCTCCAGGGCGTGGCCGAGGGCGTGGCCGGCGCGGGAGAGGCCGAGGCCGACGGCCAATCGGAGGAGGGCGCGCAGGGCGTGGCTCCAAGGGGGGCGGAGCCAAGGGTGGGAGGCCACGAGGAGGGAGCCAATCAGGAGCCAGGTCCAGGCGGCGGCCGAGGCGGTCAGGCGGCTGCTCCGGGGGAAAAATTAATTATTAATCATTAATTAATCATTAATTAATCATTAATAATTAATACCTACTACTTACTCCCCTATCGTCCGTTATTTCTCATTTTCCAGCCGTTTATTAATTAATTATTAATTATTATTCGATATTTATCACTCCCCTGTTAATTAATCGCCATTTTCCCCCTCGTTATTAATTAATTATCAATTATTAGGCCTTGCTCATCATCGATTATTAATCCCTAATGCA